GTGACGTGTGTGGTTGTGCTGCTGCCGTGGTCCTGCCAGATGCCTCCTGCTGCTGCTGCCATCATTAGTCATTAGTCATACTTCTACTGTTATTATACACATATGACTATTGTCACACATGTATACTGCCAGATATTAATACATACTTTCAACATATTGTACCACAGTAGCCAGAACTATAACTCTAATATTATTACTTTCAATAATGTTGTTGTAAGCTACTGTCATTACCTGCATCTCTCTCTGTCTCTCTCTGTCTCTCTCTCTGTCTCATTGTGTCATACAGATTACTGTTAATTTATTATGCTGATCTGTTCTGTACGACATCTATTGCACGTCTGTCCGTCCTGGAAGAGGGATCCCTCCTCAGTTGCTCTTCCTGAGGTTTCTACCGTTTTTTTTCCCCGTTAAAGGGGTTTTTTTTTGGGGAGTTTTTCCTTATCCGCTGCGAGGGTCATAAGGACAGAGGGATGTTGTATGCTGTAAAGCCCTGTGAGGCAAATTGTGATTTGTGATATTGGGCTTTATAAATAAAATTGATTGAATTGATTGAAGAACAGTGCATCACGGCACTTTTTTTCTTCTGAGTGAGGATTAGAATATATACAGTTAACATAAGCAGGTTGAAATTAATATAAATGCTTGAAGATCCACTCATTACTAAAAGTGTCATAAAAACTAAAGTAATGGTCAAAGTTGTTATATGGGAACTTTAAGGTGTGTTGATTGATTCACGTCAGCTCACACATTGAGTAACATTACAAGTTAATGTTCCACCTAAAAGTCACCAGCAGTCAGCCCAGTGAATTATGTTGTTTTTTTCTCAGACTCCAGCTGCTGCGAGAGGCAGCAAAACATCCTTTCATTTTATAGTTACAGTTGACTAATAAAACTCTCCACAGTATGAACAATGGTTACATGAGCCTCAAAACCAGCCACAACTCAGCCCTGAGCAGAGTGACCGTCCTCTATTGACCAATCAGACTGCAGTGTTCACAGCTCCACCTTTTAGTACCAGAGCTGTGTGCTGGGGACCAAAAATGGGGACGGTACGGAACGGTTCCATTGGTACCATCCACAACTTTTCACAGTGTAAATGGGAAAACCACAACCGAACTGAGCCGTACTGCCTGGTTGAAACAGGGCTTTACTGATGTTTGTAAATCTACTGTGCACTCTCTCAAATCTGAGCTCACTGGACTTTTCCCATTGTGATGTTTGTAGCTCAATCTGATATGTGCAATAAAGCAAGCTCTACAGTATTTACACAGACACATAAGTCACCTTGCTGAATCATAACCACTGACAGAAAGATAAGGGACAATCTCACTAAGTTAAATGACATTAGAACATTCCGTGCCACCAATATTTATGATATACAGTACTGTTAGATGTATTTTTGACCTGTCAGATTTTCACATATTTTCAGAGGAGGTTCTTGTGTACATTCCCAATAATCAGGTCACAGCAGTTGCAGAAATAAATGCTTTGTTAATTTTATTTATTGTTTATTTGATGTGGACATCACAATTGCATTGGACAGACCAGATGCATTGTTTGAGTGTTTTAGCACACGTGCTAATTCGCAACACTTGTCCACAGGAGGCTTTTGAAATGATAAAAATAATAAATGTAAAAGGGAAAAAAATGCAGTGTACAATAACATACAACAGTAAAAGAGAAGCAATTTTTCAGAATAAAATACATACATAAGCTACAAAGCAAAGGCAACATGATCAAGCAATCAACCAGGTAAAACTATTCATGTGAGCACTGTTGTTTTGATTTTAGCCATTGTTTAAGTCCTTTGTTAAAAGCATTACTGTTGGTCTCTAATTTTAGATTAGTGGGTAGAGAGTTCCAAAGTTTTGCCCCCTTTACAGAAAGAGCAGACTGAAGTCTTGTATCTTGGGACAAGACAATCACCACTGGTGGAGGCTCGCGTGGTCGCTCTGTGAGAGCTCTGATGCCTGATGGCCAGTTCAGAAAACAGTACTGACACATGATTATTTAGACATTTAAAAAACAATTTAAGAGTACTAAAATTCATAAAATTTTCAAAGGTGAGAAAGTTGTGTTTTCTTAAAATGCAGCAGTGATGCCATCTCATTGGTTTCCGGTCCATGATTTTTATTGCTTGCTTGTATATTGAGATTATAGGTTTTAATGTGGTTGAAGAAGCTTGTGACCATGATGTGATGCAATATGACAAATGAGAAAAAATCATTGCATGCATGTACAGTTTTGCAGCTTGATGTGACAGGTTCCTTCTAATAAAGCGAAAGCAGTTAAGATTTGGTCTAACCTTATTACAGTGTACTTAACCTGACTATCAAACTTTAAGTTCTTGTCCAAAATGATGCCTAAGTATTTGACTTCATTCACTTCATCGATGATTTCCATCTTAATCCTGACCTCAAATACATCATATGCGGGCCTAATACGCATGGAGAAGCACATGGATACAGTTTTTTTGACATTAAGAGTTAGATGGGATAACTCGAGCCATTCAGAGATGTTCAATAAAGCCTGTGTCAGATGCTCACCTGCCAGGCTGGGTGTTTTAGTGGACACATGGATGACCGTGTCATCAGCATACATCTGGCAGTTGACATCTGGACAGCAGCTTGGTAGGTCGTTGATATACATTGTGAACAGCAATGGACCAAGAACAGACCCTTGCGGTACTCCCATGCTGTTTGCATACATATGTGACTTCACCCCATTGACCCTGACACATTGCTGTCTCCCCCCCAGATATGATTTGAGCCACTTCAAAGCTTCAAGTGACATTTTGAATTGACAAAATGTCACCTGAACAACTCAGAACACTTGACTCATATAGATATTTTATTTTTTATTGTATTATTTAATGTCGGTCATTGGTGCTTTTTGTATTTATTTATGTATTAGTTGTGTACATAAGAGTTTTGTCTATTTATGTGACAGTACAGGGGAAATATGCAAAAGGAAAAACAAACTCAAATTCCTTGTTTGTCTGTACATATACGTAGCTCAATAAATTTTGATTCTGCTCCCAGGACTGGCCGATTCTTGATACCCTGTGACTTAATACTGAACATGAGAAAACTTTCAA